GGAACACTTTCAAAAGTTAAGTTGAAAAAGTTCTACTTTCTATATGCATTTTTTATATTTGAACCCCCCCCATATATAGGGAAATAGTCTGATTTAAAAAAAAAGTATATCCAATGAAAGATGTATATAAATACTACTTCTCATGAAAAAATTGTATTGATCCATACATTTTTTAAAAAGTTATAGCACTTTAAAGTAAAAAATGTAAATTATAAAATCGAAAATTTTCACACAAAAATAGCATTCAGTAGCCATTTTCAGTGTGAAGATAAAATAAAGTCCGAAATTTTTTTTTTCATAATAAAGTATATTACATTAGCTTTAATTTAAGATATATATAAAAGTGTCAGACTTTCCGAAACATTTTCAAAAATCAAGTTGAAAAAAATAATTTGTTGTGAAAAAGTTGTCATTTTAAATCGCCCCTGTGGGTTAGTAAAGGGTCACATATAAAAAAAGAAATATACCAAATGAAAGGTAATGATATCATGCATCTATAAAAAAAGAATTATATTGATTCGGTTATTTTTAAAAAAGTTATAGCAATTTTAAGTAAAAAAAATTTCGAAAATTAGCAATTTTTAAATTTGTAATTTTTTTGGAGGTTTCCCCCATTTACGGGGAACGAGGGAAATTTTTTCAATTTTGAAGGGTAATGTCTTCGACTAGATACGATTTGTGATCTTTTGACGTATCGTTGAAAGAAATCCGTTCGGTGAGAGCTGAGAAAAAGTGGTAACAGACACAAAAAAAAACACATCATAGTAAAACCAATACCTTCTCAGCTTCGCATCGANAAAAAAAAAAAAAAAACACACATCATAGTAAAACCAATACCTTCTCAGCTTCGCATCGAAGCTAAAAGGTATAGAGCTTGTACAAAAAGTAAGGAAAACAAGTCGGTTGTTACAAACAATGAGAACAATAGAAATTCTTTTCTTTAATTACTGAATACTCTACATATTAATATCATGATTATTATTGATAAATTAAAAATTATACCAATATCAAATTATAATTGATATCTTTGAGGTAATAAGTAACTAAAGTAAACTCTTATTTTCACCTGTGTTTATTTGTTTAACTAATAAATATATTTATATTTTTCAATTAAAAATATTTAGTATTACTAAAGAGATAAAACATATTAATTTGATAAAACTATAGATCAATAATCAATGTTAATGTTTTTTTTTAAGTTTTGAACCAGAAGTGTTTCCTGCTCTTATTTATAGAATGGTGAAACCACGTGCTGTTTTTTTAATGTTTGTTAATGGCAAAGTTGTAATAACTGGTATGTAAAAAATTTAAATAATTTAGTTATATTTAATAAGTTTTTTATTATGATTTCAGGACTAAAAACTAAAGCAGATATTAAAGAATCAGTATTTCTGATGCAAGATGTATTAAAAAGCTTTAAAAAAACTTGAATTTATTTTTTTGAAACCTCATTACACCTATCTTATTGTTGCCATTTTTTGTTAATTATATTACTGTAAATACCAAATTCATTGCTCTTTAAATATAATTTCTTTTTTTTTCTCAAAAATATTATATTTTAGTAACTATTTTTAAAAATCTGTTTTTGATTTTATGTGTTTGAAAGGATATTTATAGTTAAAACATTTGTGCCTAATAAAAATTAAAAAAAGTAATTACTTCTAAAAGACAATGAGGATACTAAAATTCTAGATCTCTGTAAGAAAATCAAATTTACTACACCCATAAAAATTTCAATAATAATATTAAAGATAAAATAAAATATTTAATTATTGAACTACTCTGGTATAATATATTTTGAAAAGATAACTAATAATCTTGATTACTAAATTAAGAAATATTGAAAGTACATATATGATGAATAAGAGGTAGGTAGTTGCATTCAAAATTGGAGTGACCTATAAAAAACTTAGAATTATTATGAGGCTATGTTGAAAAAAAATTGTATTTACTTTACTAAATTTTATAATTTTCAATTATATAAATTTCTTTGTATTCATTTTAAATTTAATTATCTGATTATTTATATTTCTTTTGTACTTAAGTCCCAATGTTGCTCTTTTCAAAAATGTTCAATTAGTGTGAAATAAATTTAAAGTTGGAACATCGGATGAAATTGTTTTTAAGAAACTAAAACGGTCAATAGATAACACAATAAAATTTGCAAAAAAAATTTTAAGCGAGCGGCATTCATGAACTTATAGAGCTCACATATTTTTATAAGGTGTTCCCCCTATCATCATTTAAAATTGCTAGTTTTAAATATATGATAAATTAAAGCTAGTGTTATGTAGTATAAGTTTAAAAAAAAACATGTATTCTTTTAATAAAGTTTCGCTGAAATCGTAAGTTAAAGTATTTTTCTCATCAGATTATTATTATTTTAAACAAATTATTTATCGGATTTCGGGCATATAAGAGTAAGGTAGGTTCATAAAGATCCACCTTGGTAGTAGTACTTTTGTTATCTGTGGTATAATATTATCATATTTTGAGTCAACGTTAAATCACAGATAAGATAATTTTATCTTTTGTAGTTTAATGTTAATCAACGAGAACACTTATAGTTTTCGTTTTACCTATCAAATATTACATGTGATAGTTTGTAATAAAGTCTTTATTTTACTTTGTTAAATATTTTTAATTTTAAGAATGGAGGATTCGTATATTAATTCACTGAATAATTTGTGTAATACTTATGACTTATTAGTTGAAAAAGGAAAGAAAAATGATGTGCTGTTGGTTGTTCATGAATCCTTTGCTACTACTGAACTTGAAAAAATGATTCAATATTTTTCTGATAAAATCAATATAATATATATCAATCCATTAAAAATAAATTCAAGTATAAGTCTCTAAATATAGGTTGTAATCTTTTGATTCTATGATACTTTTTATAGATTTTGATGGAGAGTTCAATGTTATTTTATCTGGATTTTTTGGACCTGAAATTAATGTCATAAATAATTTTGATTTATTGGCTAAATATGTCAAACTGCTATTAGCCGGTGGTCAATTATTTGTAAAAACTAATGAAGCTTCAGAAGACCAATTAATAAAATGTTTAAAAACTAGTGGATTTCTAAATGTTACAAAAAGTAAAATTCCTGGTATAATTATAGGCACGAAAGCATTATATGAGGTAATTTAATGTAATAAAACTTGTTCGAATATTATTACAATTACTGTTATATAGGTTGGGTCTATTGATAAAGTTAATCTTAAAAACAATTTAAATGATGTAATTTCTGCTTGGAAAGTAGACAATGATGATGCTACAGAAACCATATCAGAAGAAGACTTATTGGAAGCAGATGATTTAAAAAAACTAGACTCTGCATCATTGAAAGGTAGACTTTTTTGAAGTTGGGACATGGAATGTTTTAATTGCATAGTTATTTTGTATTTTTTTTATTTAAAATTATTTATTATTAATTTAGTATGTGCTACAACTAAGAAACGTAAAGCCTGTAAAGATTGTACTTGTGGATTAGCTGAAGAACTTTCTACGGGCGAAACACAGAATGAATCCTCAAAAACCGATACAGCAAATGCAAAATCTTCTTGTGGAAGTGTAAGTTTATGAATATTAAGCTAAATAAATTTCTATTATACATTTATATATTTTAACTTTGATGAAAATTTGAGTAGATAATGGTTTTACCATGATGTGTATTTCTTTATGGACCAACTTTGTTGGTCCATCCATTAAAAACCAATTTTAATCTAATTGAACCTATTGGTGTAGAAAAGTTATTTAAAAAAAATCTTATTTAGAAATTTGGAAAAATATTTCAAAATGTAGTGTACATTAAAAAACAGAATTTTCAAACTAAACTTTTTACATTTTAAAATTGCTATAATTTAAAATTAAATATTGATCCTAATAAAATTTAAATATTATATATTGGGGACAATGAGCTTTCTTTTGGTATGATTTTTGTAAAGATTAAATGAAAAACCACAGTATAGAATAATTTCATGAGCTTGACTATATGAGCATGAGGCTTATATAGTCCCAGTTAAGTGAAGCTTAGTAATGATAATAATAGTATCTTAGTATATAGCAGTAGATGATTGTTTGCCAAAAGACTTAAAATAATTTTAAATAAATATTTCATAAATATTCTAACCTTCTATATTGAAAAAGGTGTAGTCATGAGAGTTTAGTACATAAATTTATTTGGTAAAATTATAAAGTTTAGTTATATTTTTTTAGACGTCATATAATAATTAGAAATATTAAGTTAAAAAAGATTAAAAAAAATTATGTATAACACCTATTCAAGTAGGGTGTCTAACCATTGACATTCCCTTAAATACATCACTGAAAGAAGGGTTTGAAAGAAACCACCCATGCATGTAAAAAAATATTTGTTTAATTGTTTCGGAAACATCTGACAAGTTTTATGTACCTAAGTAAAACATGAGTACAAGAAAGTAGTGGTGTACACAAAATTTTTTCAAAAAGGGTATTATAATTAGTAATTGGAAATATCGATTAGTAACTATCAAACTATTCAATTGTTGTCCACTATTCGATAATCATTCAAGAACTATTCGATAGTCTATGCTAAAAGTAAACTGACACATGACGTCCTCAGCTAGTTCTTCAGGTTTTTTAAATTCTTATAATATTTAGCCCTTAAAAAATTTCTTTCATTTCTGCAATTGATCATCATTCATTTTCATTATTATCCGTGTTCATTGTTAGCCCATATATACTTCTAAGGACTTTTCTTTCAAATTTGATCAGATATAAACATTCATGAGTTTGATGATTTAATTGGGTATTAAGTTGTATTTTCATTAATAGTTAACACAATTGTTATTCAAACTTTTATCAGCTTTTTGTTGTTAATTTAATTTCATTTTCATTTTCACCCATCACTATTATATCATCTGCATCAGCGCCATCACTACATTTATCTCTCGTATATTATTTTCTTATACTTATTTAATTACCGACTCCAATGCAAAATTGAAAGGTACAAGAAATAGAGTATTTCCCTGTCTTTATACTTGAAATTTCTTTGACATTTCAGAAGTAACTTCATCTTATATTTAGACGTTTTGTTTGCATTTAATAGTCTTACAAGTTTTGATAATAGTCTGAGTTGAATCATTAATTAAAAACATTTCTTCTTATTGAATTGTAAGTTTATTTAAAGCGAATGAATAATAAATAATACATCTTGATTAAATTCAAAGCTTTTTTCTACTATCAGTTTCATTGTATGCATTTGATCAATTATGGATTTACCTGTTGTAAACCAAACCTAGTAATCACCAATTATATGATGATCATAATTTTTTATTCTAACAAGTAATATATTAGATATAATCTTTTTAAGAAGAGAACCCGTAACTCTAATAAGTTCTCTTACAGGAAAACTTACTTTTTTACTCGAATTTATTAACAAGTTTAAAAAACATTTTATTTTGTTGGCTCTTGATAATTATTCATACATAGATTACTATCTAATAGCATGTCTACTATAAATCAACAAAATGTATTGAAAATTCATTAATATTAATTCTAAGATCTTAGGTTTGAGATTTAATCATTATTCTTTAATCTAATCTGCTACTAATTTATTACTAATTATTATTCTTAAATATTTACAGCTTGCAAAATAGTTATCGCTATTCTCTATCATAGATTTATGTTATTTTCAATATTTGCCATGTATAGAGTTGTTAAAATTTAAATTCTTAAAAAATAAAAAGACTTCTTTCTTTTTTATTTTATTTAAAATTAAATTTATTATAAATTTGTTATATTTTTATTTTTATTTTCTATTATTTATTTATTATTTTTTTAGAACTTTCTATTTACAGACATTTTTTTTTTTTGTAGTGTTATTTAGGTGATGCATTTCGATGTGCTACCTGTCCATATTTAGGTATGCCAGCTTTCAAACCAGGAGAAAAAGTTCAACTTGCTGGAAATTTATTGCAAGATGATTTTTAATTAGTATTTTATAATTACATTAATTTATAATCATTTATTGCAAATAAATATATTCCTATAATTATATTAGAACATAAGGTGTCAGTGTAATAAAATAAATACAGAATAGCTTTATTTAATTATCATTATCAATTTATTTACCCCCTTTCACTTCCGAAAAATTATTAAAAACTTAAGCTTAACAATTTTTTTTTCTTTAGTTAATTATTTTATTATAATAAGTTTATTACAAATGGAATAAATAAAATACTAATACATAATTTATAAATCAATAATAAAAAATATAAATAATATTGTAGTAAAACTAACTGAATCATAATCAACCACTTATTATATTGGCAGTCTGTCAATTGTTATTTTATATTAATTTATGATAAATAATACAGTTGCATATATTTTTTAAATTAAAAATTCTTATAGATTGTTTTAATAATCAGTAAAAAAGAATATGTTAAAAGCCTGAATATCAAAACAATTACAAAATGTTTATAGCTTAAAAAATAATATAAAAAAAATAATAAATGTGTAAGAATATTATGTATTTCTTAAATCTAAAATAAATTTTGATAAACTAATTTGATCTTAACACAATATGAGTTCTAGTTAATCAATTAATTTTATAGCAAAAAGTTAATTTAATCTATAATATTTTAGGGTTGGATTTTTAAATAACTGTTATGTAATGTATTTCAGAGAAAATATCAAGTATTTAATATTTGTTTGTTAAGCACAAAACTTTCAAGATATGTGTGCTGAGTAGGTTTGTGTAAACGAAGCATATTCAATGCATCTTCTAATTTAAACCATTTGCGCTTACGACCTAAAAAAATAAAATATATTAAAATAAATATTTATAAAATAAAAATTATTAATAATAAATAACTGATTTTGTTAAGCATAATGTTTGTGATATCAATGTACTAGGTAGTAGTCCATGATATTTTTAAAAAAATCTTTTTTTTTTATTTGTAAAATATGTAAAAGAAAAACCAGGACAGCCTTTTTATATTTGTAAACTAAAAAAAAAATATCTTATTAAAGTTCAGTAGTAATTTTCTGTAAAATTTCAAAGTTTACAAAAATTATCATGTTATTTTCTACACTATCAAATATTGAAATATATATTGGGCAAAGAACAGAAAAAACTTGATCATTCAGCGCTAACTATTAGGATTATAGATATGCAAGTTTTCCAAGAAAATTATTACAGTTTCAATTACAAGCAATAGTAATTTTCATTGAAAAAATTTGATAATTCCAACTTATATTTAATGTCAAAATACGTTTTATTTCTATCCTTTTCTTATTTTAATACACCAACATTAGATATTTTAAAAAATTGTTTAATATTATCAAGTGTCTAAGTACCTAAAATAGGTATTTAGTCATTCTAATTACATGATTTAAATATAATTTTTGTAAAATTTTAATTTATTGAATAATACATTTTAAGAAAATACCCAATTTTTTAATTATCAAATAATTTTTAATTCACCTTAATTTAAAATATATATTTAAGTTATTTAACTAATTCCAGCTAATCCATTAACATAAAATAAAACAGATGCATGTATATTTTTACAGCATCTACTGGCAAATAAATTTAAAACTAAAACATTGTTTAGAATATCATAATTTAATTATTTTAGAGTTACCTATCCCCAATGAATCTTCCCACTCTGGTAGCTCTTCAGTGACTATCATCACAAACACATCAGTTCTATGTCTCCTTGTATGAGTCTAAACAAATGATATTTTTAACATTATCCTACACATAATTATAAAACCAAAATTTTCTTACTCTATCTTCAAAGGTCCCAAGACGTCTGTGTAGTCGACCAACAACACCAGCTTCTTCCACCACTTCTCTAATAGCAGTAGCACTTGGCTCTTCTTCAGGTTCAATTCCACCACCTGGTACAATCCATTGCTCTGGTCTACTAGATGAAGTCACCAACAGCACCTTCAAAAAGTATCATATACCTATATATATGCACAATAGTCTACAATCATTATTAAAATTACAATTTTTGCATAACGAGAAAAAATCAAAACATATACTACTACTTTCTTTTAACTGCAACTAGTTGTTAATCATAAATCATAAACTTATTTAAAGTTTAAATTTAAAAGAATATTTGTGTATAAAATATTTGGATGAAATAATAAAGATATATATATATTTATAATTGTTTTAAATAAAATAAAAGTACCCATGACCTATTTTTAGAATATATAAAAAAAAATTTGTCACGCAATTATTTTACCTGTAAAAGTATAGAACTTATCAAATAGTATACTGAAAAAAAACAAACATTAAAAAATAATTGAATTTAAAAGTTTTCAGATAACCAGAGTATTATGAATATAATGAAATAAATAATTAGGCTAAGAACAATTAATAATAGTAAAAATACCTATATACCATGTTATATCATTAAAAGTTTCAAGGAAATATATTTAATTTAATACAACATTATATTGATAAAAGTAAAGTAAAATTGTATAGTTTAGCCTTTAATGGATCCAAAAAAATAATTTTTAAAATCTATTTCATATTAAAATATATTTTACAATTTATTGAGAACAATTAATACCATAAAATAACACAAACAATAACAGTGGTATATTTTCAAAATTAATTTTAAAAAAGGTGTAAAAGTTGTTTTTAAACTTAAAAGCCCATTATATTATTAAAATGTTATAATTTAAGAAAGAAATTCAGTTTTAAAGACTTATTAAATTACAATGGTACAGAAAAATATTGGTACATATTTTTAATATATGAAAATTTGAATTAAAGTAATAAAAAATATTTTCACTATTTATTGATTTTTTTTCATTTAATATTATAAAACAATAATTTGTGGTATGAATGAACGATTTTTGACAGTTTCAATTAATTTTCATCAGGTTCCAACTAAGTTATGGAATAGTATTGTAGACTGTTCAGTCTCCATCAAGTTTCGATGCACTATCAAATAATTTTTTATTTCTTATATTTTCAAAAGTATTTTTTCATTAACTACCGATTATAAAAAACTTATTTGAATAGTTTTCTGTTTTACTGACCTCTTCATGCATACTATAATCTGTATTATGCAACAAAATATCTTAAATATATTACAAGATCACTCATAATATTAATTCAACTAACTCGAATACAAAAATATTAATACCTTAAATAATAATAAAACCAATCAAAAATGAAATTATATAGCTGTAACCTACATAGTAATACTACACAATACTGCAAAAGTTTAAGTCTTCATCAAGTGGACTATATAAGTTCATGAAATATTATTCATAGATTAATTATATTGTATTCTTAACCAACATGCTATATAATTACCTCGTCTGAATCTTTCCGTACACATATACATGCCGCTCGCCGACGAAAACCATCCTTATCGTAAATGCGAGTTGAATTTGGTTTGTCTTTCATATTAAAGATTAGGATATAAAAAGGAATATAGAATTTAATGAATTATTTGCTCAAGAATTTTTCGGAAGATTTCAAAGATATTGAACTGTTAATTCATTTATAAATGTCTAACAAATTTGAATATGAGAGCTCAGTGAAAAATTACATAAAAATTTAACAATGAATCGCGACGAGTCAAAATTAATATCTAACCACTCAAGTTTATGATGAAAATATTGTAAATTTATAGATATTTAAAAAATGATTTTACGTGCGTAGAAACGGTTTTTAAAATTGTTATTGAAAATAATCGATTTAACGTCTTAATAGAAAAAATAATTTATTGAATAAATAAATACGAGGGTTAAATAAAAAATAATAATAAATAAATAAAAAGAGCAAAGGGAAAAAACGAAAGAAAAATTAAGAATTGATAAACAATAAGAGATACATTTGACGAATGTCACTTAAAGACATTGTAATGGAAACATTTGACTGTCGATGGAATTCTGCATTATCGTTTTCAGGATTACCCGTTGTTCACTGCAATATTCAGTCGTCCGCACGATCACCATAATCGTCGATTATAATATAACTATGCGAGAATGCGTGTTTGGTCCAACAGCTGCAATTAAGATTACTACGTTGCTGATTGAGCCGAACGAGTGATGATAAAAAAAAAAAAATTATCAAATAATCTAGAAGTCACCGAAGGTACAAAGTCTGAACACCGTGTGCGCACACAAGCGGACAAATAAACGTGTCCGTTCAGGTTAAGTTTCGTAGGCACGTGAGGTAAACGACGTCCCGTAGGAGACCGGGCGAGTAAACTGATGAGTAATGATAAAAATGAACAACAAAAACTACAGCTTGGCTGCAGCGTTGAACACAGCGACCGCCGTGAACGTGGGTCACGATTCACGGGCTAACGCGGCACTGAGCGCTGTGGGTGCGCGAAAACTGATATTTCCACTAAGCCAGTGCAGAGGCGCCGTGAGAAAGCACACAAAACTCAGAGCGCACGTACACACACAACTACTGCGGTTTACACTTGAACGTGGCTATACTTTGTGTGTGTGTACACTAGTAACTGGACACGAACTCGGTACCCTCAATAGAATTGTGTATATGTGTCAGTGAAAAAGGCTCCGGATTAAGAAAACAACGCTTCTGGTGTCGTGAAGTAGAACCAATTGGCGATTGCTGCTGTTACTCCGCTACGCCCACCCTACTTCTACCTACAATACAGTTGTGACTTCAAAGAAATACGACAAGAGTATAATTACAATTATTATGTTAATTGAAGTTTTATAAAAAATATTATGGCCCACCACTTGATGTTATCTATTGTAATCTTTTCATTATAAACACCTGTACTTACATCAGATTATATACTTAGTAATATTATCAGAATTTTACTTGTTTGAGCAGGAATTAATGCTTACATTTAAAAAAACCAACCAAATCATTGTATTAATACTCCAAGTTAAATATTTATTATTACGTTAATGTATCAAATATTTCGGCATTTATTTTTAATTCAAAATTTTATGAAAATACATTTTTTGTACCTATTAATATGGGAAAATTTTTTAAAAACTTAAAAAAAGTAAAACCATAAAAAATGTTTATATAGTAAAAACAACGCTCTCGTTGATGTACTTATGCATTTTAACATAATTACATAGTCAAATTACAAAATAATAAAGAGATTTACGTCAAAGGAGCAGCACAAACGTCAACTCGACAGAAATGTAGGTGTCATACCCCATTACAAAATGACTACATGGTAAAGATACAATTTTTTTCATTTGTAGGATTGTGACACATTTTTTATGTTGCCGCCTAAAGACAAATCCCTATTTACGTAGCTAAAGAGTAGGTCGCATTAGTCTTTAAATTCGATTATAATACAGTTTTTTTATTACATTTTTTAATATAATGTTATTTTATTCTTAAAAAAAAAATGTTTTTTTCATGGAAAAATTAATAAATGAGTAAACAAAAATTGTCTACTTCGACTACTGTAGGCTTAGGGTGGTCAAATTTAATTTTTCTCCCACCGAAAAATAATTGCCATAAAGCAATGGATTACGTGTCCTTTTTTTCGTCCAATAATTATTGCTTATCAAACCAGACAGTGGCGTAATAATAGTTTCGTCTTGGGGGGGATACAAATAAGAAAATTGTTCACTTTTCTTCCCAACAAAAAAAAATTGTATCCCTGCTATATATTACTTTTGACTTGTGGGATATGCCACCCATATCTCCTCCCCAATAATTACGCCAGTAAAACCAGAATAATAATATCAATTATGTTTGGTTTCGAATTTTTTACCTAATGCAGTATATTAATCTTACACTCAAAATAAATTATCATATTTTTGTCTAAAATACTAACTAAAATCATTTTTATATAATTTTGCTAAATTTCTGGGGGACTAAATTATTAATTGGGGGTAAGCTATCTAGCCCCCCACTGTACGTCTATTTGGACTAATATAAATGATAAAGTAATAAATTATTTAATTATTTAAGGTAAGAAAATATGAATTATAAAATTATAACTGGTTTAACTTATGTCAAGATTATACAATTCAAAGTGACACATACTTAAAAAAAGCGTTGACCTTCAAAAATTATCAGTTTGAAGTTAAAACCTCGAAACTGCTTAACTTTTAATTAAAAATAGTAAAAACAGTAGCATATTTTTTCATTGTTATTTTATAATGCCATAATATATATCACGGAAATATGCATTAGTTCATTTTTTAAATAAAATTCATTTAATTATCCTTTTTAGTCTATCATGCTTTGCGAAAATATTAGTTTATCCCAACGAAATTTTTCAAGAAAATAAAATCGGATGATATGATACTAAGCTCTGGCTTTAATATTTATTAGTTATATTTTTATAAATTAAAATTATGAATTCTCGTCTTGTCAAGACCGCATTTTAAGGATCATCAGTGAGTAGTTTTTAAAGCGATTAATTTGAGAAAGTCATTGTAAAAAGTTCAAAAGTATTAATTAGAGGTACATGATTTCAGATCGTAAAAAAATAATTTTTTAAATTTTTTTCTATTTTAGTTGTAACAAAAAACTATGGAATTTGTTTATGTTTTGTAAAATTTGTACAATTATTTTTGGAAGTAGTTTATGAACTAACGTCTATTATTAAGAACTTCCCCTACCCTCAAGTTTCCATGTTCAAAAACTCTAGAAAATATAATTGAACTGTACTACTAATGAATACTGAGAGTTAGTTATTGTGTTCAATATAGTAATTATTTTTCTTTAAAACAAAAATACTATAATAAAAAACACAGGAACATTGTTCTATTTTACATTTATGAAATAGCTTTTTATTATCCATCAACTAATATATAATAATATTTAATTTTATTACCATTTATTCGTATGCTGAATGGACTTTATTAAGGCATAATGAAATAGTATTCTTGAATATAATAGAACCATTTTTTAATTATTTGTTGCCTAGCTGATAATGGACGCTAGAAACAAGACACATATTTATTATTTCTTGTTGCAGTTAGTTTAAATAGTCTAACATTCAAATAGTCAATCACAATGGTTATCGTTAAAAGACCAATACCAATTTTATATAATTCAATAATTAATCTTCAAATTATAATAATCTTGTAATTTTAAAGTTCATTCATTATTTTCATAATTTTTATTTTCTATTCATATTTGATATTTACAGACCAAAAAGTCAAAGGAATAATTGTCGATACTCAAATAACTTGTACTATGAACCCAATAATACTATCTATGGATATTATTTTTACCATTTATTTTATTAAAAACAGAAAATATTATAATGTCTCCACTATAAAAAATAAATTAACAACATTTTTATTTACCATCAATAATATCTTAATATGTTTGTTTTATTAAATAGACAACTGCTAAATAATTTAAGCAAATGCATCATCCTAGCTTACAGCTTCAGACAATGGATTAGATGTTCCTTTTTTTTGTCCATTAATTATCCTTACTATATAATTACTTTTGTCTTAGGGTATATATCACCCATATCCTCCCCATGATTACGCCAGTAAAACCAGAGTTATAATATCAATCATATTTAGTTTTGAATTTTTTACATAATACAGTACATTATTCTTACACTTAAATTAAACTGTCAAAAAAAAAAAAAACTAAATAAAATCATTTTTATAGTTATTCATCTGAAAATGTTGATTGATTGTGTACCACAGTCGAAAACAAGTGGTAGTGTAAATCATCAAAATCAACTTGATGAAGCAACGAAGTGCAATCGTATGTTCTATATTCTAATCGTTTATCGTACCAATTTACAATTAAATTTGTTATTGTTCTCTTTATAAGTGTTATTACTCAACATTAATTGTGATATATTACTATTTTTGTCGTTTTTGAGAATTGTCGCCATTAGGACCAGTTAACGTGATTGTTTATCTAGAAATAATAGTGCCAACGATGTTAACACACACACATATATATACATATATATTTTTTATTGTAGCTTTCAAAATAACGTATTACAACTTAACGATTAATTAAATATATAAAACGTTTACACATAATAGCGTAAATTTTGCGTTTTAATAATTTATTGCCAACAGTAAATATAATATTTACCGACAGTACAAATTACAAATATTAAGCGTAGATAACTTAATCAAACAATAGTCAATATAGAATAGATATTTAAATATTTAACATTGCCTACACCATTGACTCCTATTTAACTCATGAATCATAATAACGACATTTAATGTCTACATATCAATATGTTTATGACTTGTTTACATACTCGGGTTGGCTAAACGTCAATTTTACATTTTTTTTTTTTCAAGTTCAAAAATCTGACAGCTGCTTGTTCCCTACATCTTTTAGCTATCATGAGTTTTATAATACTCAATGTGTATGTAATGTAAATTTAAAGGTTACATTTTTATAATAATATAGATACTAGTTATTATACGCATAATATTACAAACGCAACCACTCAAATAATTGAATAAATAAAAGTGCCAGACTGATGTGTATTGTCTGGCAAAGGTAATGGCTCATTTGATTGTAATATTAAACCACTTCAGAAACTTAAAATAGGCAAATTTTATTTTTAAAAAACAATTGTTCTTACGTATCAATTATTTATAAATTGTTTGTTCATCCTTAAAAAATGATGAATTTTTACCAAACGAATTATAAATTCAATAAAGGAATCAAGCAATCAATATAAATTTATTACGTTATTCCTATAGGATAGGATCAAATCCCTTATATTCTTCATTACTGCTTAACTCTACTAAATTTGTAAAAATAAAAATTACATATTTGATATTGTTGTTAGGTATAATAAAATATTAGTGATAAAAATCCTAAAAATCTCCCCTTGTTTTAATAATTTATTGAATTTTTTCAGTAGTTTTCAAATTTATCACCTTTTATGATAATTGAATAATTTTTTTTTGTGATATTATAATATAATAATAACAATGTTTTCAACTAATGGCAAACGAGTTACTTGAGTAAAATTATTAGGGTGTACTATATTCATAAAATAGTCAAATTCTATAGATAAAAAACTCAATTTACGGAAGATATTTTCTAATTAAGAAAATAAAATTCTAAAAAAATTTAAAACATTAAAATAATAATTATTTCTGTTGAACTCTGGTTGAACAGAATACTTATTTATCCCTCTATCATACATGACAGATGTTTGTACCTGAGGAAAGCATATGCATCCATAGAAATTGTTTTTACAGCATAATGGAGGAATTTGGTTTTCCATAAAAACTTATTAATCTAACCAAATTATGTACGGAAGGTGTTAAGTATCAGGTGATAGTAGATGGGATTGACTCAGACACGTTAATTGTTTGAACAGATTTAAAACAGGGCGACTCGTTTTCCTCTGAGATTTACTTACAAGGCAGAATTTTCACTTTTTTTTAGTAAAAGTAAGCCATTTATATTCAAATTATATCATACTACAACAAATAAAAAATTTGTTACTTTTTTTTACTTTACATGGCATGTTTGACATAT